CAAGAATAAATATATATATATATATATATATATATATATATATATATATCACACATTCAAAATTACTTTTTTCTGCAGAGGTGATATTTTCCAAATATATTTATGTCAAAGAGAAATTCTAAGGTTTTATTTGAAATTCACACAAGAAATATTATCATTATTTTTTTAAGTATTTTTTATACAGTTATCTTTATCATTGTTTTTTGTATAACAATAATTCTGTTGTTCAATTCTCCATCCTTCTTCAGGTGAATGGGATAAAAAAAACAGAAAAAACAAGGATAATAAACAAAAAAAAAGAAACAATGATAAACTGATGTTGGACAATGTTAAATTTTGCTTGAAAGAAACTTTGAAAAATCAAAATAGGCCAAGTTTTTGAAACATCTGCTTATTTTAATATACACAATGACTTCCATGTAAACAGGAACAGTAACTGATTTTTGAAACTGATACAAACAAAATAGTTGTTAAGGCAAAAGGAAAGTAAATTTCTTTTTTGATATTTTAACCCAGTGAATAAAATCATTGGTTGAAGTAAGCCAGTGACTTCACCCAAAGTGTTGCGAGTTCAATACCTGGCCACAGCAGAGGTGAACAAAAAAAAATTGTCGAGTTGAGTTACTAAAAGGGAAAATAATTGAAACTGTGATATTCAGAAAAGGCATGGCATATGGAACTAGAACACACTATCCCAGTGGACTAAATAAAAGGTTTGGTTCAAAATTCCAACATATATCACCTGAAGAAGGCCAGAGCATACAACAGCTGAAATGTTGTGAATATGACAATAAAGATGAGGATAAGAGTCCGAACAATGTAAATATATTAAATATTTTTTTTGCTTGTTTATTTCTCAGAATTGTTAAATGGTGAGATTAGTTATTCACTTTTATGGAAATATTTGTCAGTTACTGACTGAACAGTTAGTGTTACTGTTCGGTTGAAATTTATAGAATCTTTCTATTAAAACAATTTTTCAAATCCACTAATTGTTATCACTCTTTTTTTGTATTAATGGAAGTTTCCTTCCTAACCTTTTGTTTAAATTAATGTGAAAAGTCAAAATACTGATTATGTCATTATTTTCTCTTTGAGTTACATGTGCTATCCATTTTAGTTGTTGCAGTTGTTGAAAGTCCTCAAGTGATGTGGTTTCTATTATTTGCTAAAGTTCTTTGCTTGTGATTCTGTAGCACCAGTCCACAAGGTTCAAAGAAGGATGATCTTTGCCAAGACACTCAGGCTTCATTATTTTCCCTTTGAGTTACATGTGCTATCCATTTTAGTTGTTGCTGCTGTTGAAAGTCCTCAAGTGATGTGGTTTTTGTTATTTGATAATGTAATGAATAACCAACGCTGAATATAAATTTAAGAAGATTTATTTAACAAAACTGAATTGTTGGTAATTAAACAGCCTTTTATACAGGGTGGTTCATACTGAAATGGATAGGACAGTATACGGTCATTATTATCGCAGGAAGCATTCTTTCTTTGTGTTTCTGTAGTAACAGACTACAAGATTTACATACAATTTATTGGAAAATAGTTTCTGTTTTATATTTAGTAAATATTTTACTAAGCCTAGATTAGTCTACAATTCAAGATCGAGTGTGAAGAAATTTTCAATAGAAAACTGTGTTGGGAGAAAATTCAAAGTGTGAAAAGAAGATGCCAAATTGCAGTGAGGAGGAGGAATACCTTTGAAAGCACAACATTGTTACATTTTGAATTTTACAACTTTTAAAGTCAAATGAAGATCTGGAAGTTTGATTATACTGCTGCAGGTTTCCCAGTGATTGGGGTAGACAGTCATTGACTAACTCTTCTGTCCTAGCATCCCTGTCAAGTAGGCTAATGTGGGCAAGTCCACATTCCTGCACATCCATCCCAATACAATCCTTCCACATCTTCCTAGGTCTAGATTTTAAAAATGACCTGGGCTAACTTAAGATACTAATAAAACAATTCAAACTTTAGTAGCAAAGAGCTTCCAAATGTTGTCCACTTTGCAACTTGTAGGAAGTCTTATTGTAGAAGGGTATTGTGACGTCACCCCGTCTGTCTGCCCTGTCGCCTGTGATGACCAATGTGACTTGGCACCAAACGTGATGTTCTAACCCTTTGCTGATTCAGATGGGAATCTGGTTAGATTCTGCATCAGCCTTGTCGTTCCCAGCTTGCCTCCAACATCTGGTTACCGAAGTAACTGCTTTGATTTCTAGTCTAACCTGCCCACGTTGTGATTTGATCTTAGGTAGACGAAATCAATCAGTCGCCGGGCCACAATGCAAGTTGAGTTCGAACAAGGGTAATACCGCAAAAGTATTTGTAAAAGAAAATAAAGTAACAACTCAAAAAGTTCAACTGTGTTAAAAAAGAATAACAATATTTTATATCTGGTTGCTGAATACAGAACTGTGTCTTTCTCCCAACCCGCTTATATGGATTCATGACACTTTGTGTTTGTTAGGCAAGTCTTAACATCTTAAGTTGTTTTTTTCTTTAAGAAACTGTTTTTTTTTGGTGTATCTTCAGGCGAATATTCGTAAAACTTTTTTTGGTGGTGTGAGTCTAAGTCGTTCTTCAAAAATAAATTGTTCTTGATTAGAAGTTGAGGTCGTGATTGCGTGGATCTTTCAGTCAGCTTTCAGCGAGGTGGGTCTCAGGGCTCACAGCTCAACTCTGTCTGCGTCTGCCAACTGCATCTGTGTTGCTCACTCTGCAACTGCCTGCATGTCTGTGACTCCAACTCTACTCTACTGTCCACTCACTGCAACTCTGCTTATATGGACACCGACCAAAACCGGGGTGGGCTTGTCGGAGTTTGAGGTTCCTTGATAATTCTAAATCCACAATAAGGATCTACTTTGTTCTCGGTCAGGAAAATTTATTACTTTCCAATTTTGGAAGTCCTTACTTTCTACTTTAAGGGAATCGTCCTCCCAAATTCTTCCTTTCTCATATTGGTATCTCACACCAATCTCCTCAGAGGGCATCAACAGGTTTCCCTCTCTCTCACAGTGGCATCTCACACCAATCCCTTCAGGGGGCGTCAACAGGCCTCCCCTCCTTCTTCATAGTTTACCTTCACCTACTGCTCACGCCACCCTTCAGCCAATGAACGCTCAGCAGCATGGGTGTTTGTAATTATCACTCAAAGGAAAAAATTATCTTCCCTTTTTTTTTTTTTCTTTCTTTTCTTCTTCCTGACAACAAACCTCTATGACTCTTATCTTAACCGGACGTCGTCTGGAATTCGTCAACAAGATTTTCGTCAAATAATCATTGAGGTTGGTCAATGATTTTCTACACTCTGTCACCAATTATCTGTTCCGAAAAAATAATTTTTCTATCATGGCCAGCTCTGACATAAAACAGGTGTTTTTCCCAAATGATATCTCCGCAGATAGTTAATGGTTTAATCTTTCTTTCTTTGTAAGTTGTGGGTGGTCCAGCAAACATTTTTCTTGGTCAGTGCATGACCTAATTAATATTATCTCTTAGCATTCTGTCCTGTAGGCCACTTGACCAATTTGAAATTTTCATTATTGCCATGGGCAGACGGCTATCTTTTATTCGCTCCATCATAACATAAATCAAATCCGACAAATCTGAGGTCTTACTTTCTTCGCTAATGAAAAATCTTTACCACATTTCTTTGTTAGAAAAAATAACATTGCTTCTTATCACCTAATTTAATTAAAGGACAGAAAATTGTAGAGAGCCATGATTGCCAACATCCTGAAGGTACATAGAAGAAATTCCAGTGGGAAATATACAATGACATGACCTACATGGCTGACCTTTTGATATTTAATAAGTTTAACTTAGCCCAAGCAAAAGTTGCCTGAAATTTAGGAAGATTGTGCTGCAATCTTCCAAATTAAGAAGGCCATCTTACCTGCCTTGAAAATCAGCATTTAAAATTCTAGCTTCTAACCTGGGATAGAATAGTGATCGCTGGTGCTACCAGTGGAGAATATGCAACTACCTCAGCCTTCAGGCAGGATACATCATCTATTTGTACTTGAGTAGTGAAATTGAAAAGTTTATTTTTACTTCTCCAATTGGAAAAGAAAAAGTTAACGAGCAGCTGGAAATACAATAAGATTTGATTGCCATTTCTATTTCCGAAGTAAATAGTTCATCTTATGTGACAGACAGTAAAATTAAAACAGAATGATTTAGGATATAATTATCTAAATTAAGACCATTGTTATTCACAAGGAGGTGCTGAAAAGTTCCTCACTCTGTCCACCCAGTAAGAGATTAAAAAGAAAAGGAATCTGATGTTGCATCTTTTGGTCAGATTCCGGGAAGTGAATAAGGCTGAGAACTTTTCAGTTGTTGGTTCCAATCCCCACAGGGAATGACTGCAAAACATTTTTCCCCTCCCCAAATTATAGGCAGGACACAAATGCATGCTGGGATTTTTTCTAGCCAATAAAATAGGCCAGTTCTCCGCTTCATCTAACTCAGTCCAGGTCTGTCTTGTCTCAAAGTCCGGATACTGTGTTCACTTACCTGAATTTGCTCTTGTGTGTCAATCCAAATTCTTAGTTTGTCAACTTTTTGGCCATATTACTGTTGCTTTGCTTTATTACTATTAATCTACCTTGCATATATCGTTTGCTTGCTTTACATTATTTTTTGCCCTGTTCTTTTTCTTCTTTTTCTTGCTTATTGCAGACTTTGTCAATTCTGTTTGTTGGACAGTTCTGTCATTTGTTTTACATTTAGCCATCGCCTCTCACTCTAGATCAGTAAATAAAGCAAATTTATATAATGAACTGCATTATGATAGAGGGAAGTGTGTGTATATATATGTGTAGGGGTAAGGTTTATAAGGCTGAAAACTTTGAATCTAAGACTTAAAGCTATGTTCTGTACTCAACAGAATAGATTTTAAAAAATGACATAAAAAGAAAACATATTTTAATGATAATAATTATCAATTTAAAATCATTGAATAAAAAACACAAATTTCAATTCATCTATCAAATAGATAAATGATATAGATAGGTAAAGAGAAAGATAATGGTCTGGACAGGTAAAGAGAAAGATAATGGTCTGGACTGGTAAAGAGAAAGATAATGGTCTGGACAGGTAAAGAGAAAGATAATGGTCTGGATCGGTAAAGAGAAAGATAATGGTCTGGATCGGTAAAGAGAAAGATAATGGTCTGGATCTTCCAATGAATGGTAATATGAATTTATTCTTAGAATTTCAGATTATACTTATTCTTAATGTAAAAATGGAAGATATTTTATTTATTTAAATACATTTAATTATTTATTAAATTATTTAATGTATGCAAATATATATTTAATTTCTTTTAATATAAGTAAATACAGTAAAATGGTAATTAAACAGTTTCCATTTTTTTTTAAATTTTGATTTGTTAATATTTTCATAGATAATCAATAATCAATCAACTCATAATTTGACCTGAGCAACTAATGTAATTAATTCTTAATAATTATATGATTTAAAAGAATTTCCTTGATCAAGAAAAGACTGCTGGCTTTGTGGAGTATCAAAAATAGCTGAGAAGATATGAATAGCAAATTCTTAACTCTAATTAAGGAAGCAGTAAAGATGACAGGAATAACAAAGGGAGATAACTCAAAGTTAGGTTTAGAACTGACAAAAAAATAAATGGGAGAAACCCAAGGAAGAGAGAACTGAATGTACTGAAATAAACAAACTAATCAATGAGAAAAAAAAATGGACATGGAAAGAATAAAAATGATTATTAGATAAAGGAAAATACTTGAAATATGCTTGATCCTCATCTCATGCATATAACCCAGCAAAATTGCTTGCATTAAAAACAGAAATCAAAAAGTTACCAAATATTAAAAGTTGTTACAGATAACCAATGAGTACTATATACAGACATTTATGTTTTCAAAATTAAATAACCTCAACATTCACTCCAGCAAGGTGACTTGGCATATTGTATTAGTTAGCAAGCTAGTCTGTATTTTTTTAATCAATTCACCTCAAACAAAGTGATAATAGTATTAAGATGCAAGGGGATACTGGAAGCGAAAGAAAATGAAAATAATTTAGAAATCCAATCCTAAACAATGAACAATGAATAAACCTCTACTCCTGACCAGTAGGACAGAGTAGTGTGTTTAATCTTCACTGGATTCCCCATAGCAGTGCTAAATTATGCTAAGCTTAATCTGTCTCTATTTCTGAGATGAGGTATTATGTACACTATTTACATTATTCGGACTATTGTCTTCATCTTTGTTGCCATATTTATCACAAGGTTTCAGCCATTATATGCTCCCGCCTTCTTCAGGTGGTTAAAATGTCGACATTCAAACCACTTGAAGGAGACCAGAGCATACAACAGCCAAAACGATGTGATAAATATGGCAACAAAGATAATAGTTTGAATAATGTAAATAGTGCTAAGCTTAATAAATAACAAAAACAATCACTTCAGCAGATAATAGTGATGTGCCAGAGGAAAGAAATAGCAAAAATAGTTGTGTTTCTAAATTTGAAATGCATAAACTACCATGTAAAGATGGCACAGTAACAGACCTTTTGAAAGATGCAGAAGAGGAATCCTACAATGGATTAGCACAGCTATTCACTAAGTTTATATGGCAAAGAAAAGTGCATTGTCTTGAAATAATAATTCTATTTTATAAAAAAAACAAATAATAAAAACCTTGTCAATTACCACCTTTTCACATTATTATTGAAGGCACAGAGTTCAAAGAAATTAAAACAATTACTTGCTTATTTATTTTAGTGCATCTCTTGACTTGAAATTACTGTCATGGGATGCAAATAATAGTGTATTATTTAAATAAATTATCCATAGATAATCAACAGTACATTTTTATAGCCATCTGGCACTTATATTATTGCCAACTAAAACTGTTTTTATTTTTTACATAAATAGTGAAATAAGAGAACACTTACTTCACTACTTATGTAAATATACATAACATGGTTAATCCAAATAAGTGCTAAGTAATTTGTTCTGATTATAGAATGTATATAAATTATTCTTAGATGTATTTACAAACAGACTAACAAACACCCTAAATGAAAATGATCCATGTGAACAGATTACAGCAGTATTATTCAAAGTGTGGTATGTGTACCAGTGCCAGTACTCATGCTATCATCTTTCGGTACATGGAATGCTTCCAGGAAACAAAGAAACAGTAGTCACATTCCACTCTATGAAAGACTGTCAGCATATCTGACTCAAGTTTATTTTAATATTTCCATTATAGTTTTATATTTATTCTGATTACATTTTTCAATAACTTACTCATGTTAAACCAGTCCCTAAACACAGTGAAAAAGAAAACTGCTGGTATGCCACATCTAACAGTTTGAGAACCCCTGATCTACAGAAAACAGATGAAGTGATTAAAAAAAACAAAAAAACAATATGTTTAGCTTTGGTTGACTCTAAAAGAAAGTATTTGACTTGATAGAACACATACAAGTCTTTAACCTAGAGCATTAATGATAAGTTAAATGTACTGAGAATTTATTCATTAATATTACAAGAATCATTTGCTAATACTAGACACGGATAAAGATTTCAAAAAAGCAAGACCAGATAGGATTTTCTGAATTTATTACCAACATACTTTGAAGTTATCTTCCAGAAAATGGAATGACAATAGATGGGAGTAAAGAAGAATATTTTTTTAACCATTTATGATTTGATGATGACCTTTGATTTATGATTTGACGATGACCTTTGATTTATATCAGAATCACTAGATTTCAAGCTAAATGACCAAAAGACAGAAAGTCTCAATGTCGGTTTCAAAATAAAAGAAATGTTCAGTGGTGACATTTCCCAAAAGATCATGACAATAGATGAAGAATTGAAGTCTAAGAAAACATTGACAGAGGACAGGTGATGAAATTAAAAAAAAAAAAAAGATCATGAAAATAAAATGTAACAATTAGTTGAGAAATATTAAATAAAAATAGAGACTTAATGAAAAGCACCTGACCGGAATGTCTGAAATATCAAGTTTAAAATGAACAAATTTTTGAAACAGGGAAATTAAGAAAATTGCTTTTGAAAAAAAAGACTCAGAAATGAACAAAGATCAAATAAAATAGCAATGCTATGAATGAGAGATAAAAAAAAACCCAGACCTTCATGGATCAGAGAGCAAACCAAGAAATATAATAGAAGTGATGAAGTGACAAAAATGGAAGTGGGCAGGACACATAGCAAGAAGAAAGGATAATAGGTAGAGCAAAAGGTCGGTTGAATGTAGCCCAATGAATAACAAATTCAGTAGGAAAGTTGAGATAGAGACATGCTTTGTTTATACTATTTACATGATTTGGATTGTTTTCCACATCTTTATTGCCATATTGATGATGTTTCAGCCATTGTACACTCCAATTATCTTCAGGTGATATACATTGGAATTTCAAACAGTACCATTTATTTAGGTATGTATTGGTCATGGTTTTCATGAAAGGTCTTTGACAAGTAGTGAATTTGCAATGATTGTTTACTATATTGACTTACATTCGAGTCTTCCTAATAGCAACTGATTTAAAAAATAGAATGTCAGCTTCTAATAAACCATTACTGGTTTATTTTACTTGATTTACACTTTAATGTTGCAGTTAATTAATTGTGGCATGATTAAACAAATGTAATATAACACTTGTTGACAGTTTCCTTATAAGTGCTGTGCCAATTAATCTTTGTTTTCAGGCAATCTAAAAAGCAAAACTTAATTTGAACTGTACTTATAGGGTTGCATGTTTCTTTTTCTTTGTGATAAATGAAAAAAGGAAACCTATACAATGTTCTCTTAACTAGATCTGTTGAATTCTTTCCAAGATTTGTGCTCAGTTGAACTAAGAAATTTATTATAAAATGTTTTAATAAACCTATCTAGAGAATTCTAAAAAATTTCATTAACTTTCTGAACTTCTTTCTTCTGTTTCTTCTTCTATGTAGAAATACAAAACACAGAAAATAAAAAAAATTATATAATAACAAACTTAGAAATTAACAAAGATCAAGGAAAATAGCAATGCTAGGAATAACTCTCAGAGATAAAAAGAGGCCATCATGAATCAGAAAAAGGCAGAAGATATAGAAGTGATTAAGTGACAAAAATGGAAGTGGGAAGGACACCTAGCAAGAAGAATGGATAATAGGTGAAGCAAAAGGTTGGTTGAATAATTCTAAATGAATAGTGAATGCAATAGGAAAAAAATAGATGAGATAGGGTAAGACATTGCAGAAAACAGAACAGTTATTATCATCCTAGAAGGAGTGGGTAAGGAGTACAAGGAGGAGGAGGAACTGAGAGTCCCAGTTTATTTATCTAGACTAGGCCCTGCACATATACAAGTATAGAAGCGAAAAGATGGACACTGATCATTTAAGCATTCCATACCACATCCCAAATGAATCAACTAATAGAAAACTGTTCCTGCTTTCCTTCTCAAAGTGCATATGGTAATGATGTGGAAGCTATGTGGACAACATAGGTATTAATAGTTAGGATAAGAATGATTTTGAACAGAAAATCAACATTCTCAACCAAGTGTTCCAAGAGGTAGGACTCAGGCTAAACCTTTCCAAAATGGAAACTATGATTTGGAATTGGAATGAAAGTAATTATGGCACATACCTAGAATCCATAATAAAAATTCAGTATGTGGAATTAATAAATACCAAGCAATTTTCAGTGGATGGATCAATTACAACAAATTTAGAATAGGAAATAAAGAGATTGAACATAGAACAGGCTGCATGAAAGGTAGTTTCACCCAATACCACATATTGCTACAAAACCAAAATATTAACCCCAAAACTTGAGTCATGTTCTTAAATAACCTTATCAGATCAAGACTTTCATATGAATACCAAAGTGCCAAATCTGTTCAGAAATATCTAAACTGTAAGCTGTATAAAACTGCTTTCTAAGATCAATAGTTAAAAATGGCTTTGAGCAAATGAAGTCTCTGGGCCTTGGCAAAGTCCCTCCAAACCTTGTGGACTCGTGCTACAGAATCACAAAGAACTGTATCAAATAAGAGGAACGTTACTTGAGGACTTTCAACAACAGCAAAAGCTAAAATGGATATTACACTGAATTTGAAGAAAAACTAATGATATAAGATGCTGACATTCCACATTACATAACGCAA